AGTATATTAAGGCTATGTTATATAACTGGCTTACATGAAAACATGAAATAATAGGATTCTAAGAAGAGCATGAATCCAAAACATAGATTGGAATTAAAAAAAAGCCGTGTAGTTGCCTAAACTTAAAATACATCATATCTAATTTGATGCCAAATATTGTCTGTCAAGCTTTGCCAATTACCAATAAATCCAGATTATGTCAACGTAATAAAATAGTACTTAGGTTACTGCAAGTGTAGCGCAGCACTACAAACTGCTGTTGTTTCCCCACAACTAATCAGGTTTCGATATGACCTAAAGTATCAGCTTTTGACCTGATTGCTAGCTGTGAGAATGTAACATTTCTTAGTACTGACACTTTGATGCATGGCGCTAATTTATAAATGTTCCACCAGCATATAACTGGGTAGATTTCATTCACATTGCACTAGTGCCACTAGATGGCGCTGAGGAGTATAGACATTTCCTATGCTAGCTAATGCTATATAGGGACGTGAGTGCGTGCAAACAGCATCCGCTCAGCTATCCGCTAGCAGAACATTTATAACTCAGTCTCACAGTGTTTACTGAGAGAGTAAATAATTTGACTTAAATTCTGATTTTCTTTTTTTCTGATTGGTTGTCTTATTCCCGGTCTCCATTTTGTTTCTATAAATAAGGTTCATGGCATTTTGTCAGTAATTAGAAAATGTTGGCTCTTCAAGGCTTTGTAAGCCAGGAACAAATCTGTGAAACCTAAGAATGGTCTGGAAGCTTTGGGCAGTTGGTACTGTGGTTTTTGTAGGCACTCAAGTTTCATCAATGTACACACAGACTGGTGTGTCAGCAGTTCAAATATTTACTTATAAGAGAGGATTTCCTTATTATAATGTAAAGAAAACAACATGGCCATAGCTTTTATTATAATACAACAGCCAGAACTTCACATAGTGTGATTCTCCACACATTTTATCTTATAAGATACACACTTTCTAATCAAAAAATGTTGTTACTTTGCCAGGTTCCTACTGTGCCATTTCCAAAATAAAAACTGGTCAAAACACACTGAACAGTACTCATTGCTGGTAAATCTGCATGAAATGTAAAACTATGTTTAAGGATCTGCTAGATGTCATCAGAAATTATGAATGAATGTATACCAATACTAGTATCTGTGCCGATGCCGAGTACTCATACTCGCCCAAATGCTCCGATGCCTAGCCCGATACTTCTGGTATCTGGAAGCTGGCTCCATGCTCTCTTGTCACTTGTGACGAGAGAGCATGGAGCCAGCTTCCCGGCCAATCAGGTAGCCGGGCAGCGTGTAATGACGCAACATTCTTTGGAAGCTGGCCAATCAGGAAGCCAGGCGCTGTGTATTGACGAGGGAGCATGAAGCCGGTTTCCCGGCCAATCAGGTAGCTGGGCAGCATGTAATGACGTAACATTGGTCGGAAGCTGGTCAATCAGGAAGCCCGGCGCCGTGTAACGATGAGGGAACATGAAGCTGGCTTCCCGGGCAATCAGGAAGCCGGGTGCCGCGTCATTACACAGCCCCCGGCTTCCTGATTGGCCAGAAAGCTGGCTCCATGCTTTCTCGTCACCTAGTGACAAGAAGCATGGGGACGGCTTCCCTGCTAATCGGGAAGCCGGTAGCGAGTCTTTATACGCTGCCCGGCTTCACGGCTAATCAGGAAACCAGGTGGTGAGTCATTACATGCCGCCTGGCTTCCTGGATGGTACTCGGTATTCGGTATTGGCCGGTACCAAAAGAAAAATATCGGTACTCGATACCGCACACACACGCCCAGAGTTTGTGCTAAGCTCAAAGCATGATCCTGAAATGCTGGATATACAGTAAATAGCTCTAGGTGAAAGCATAGCTTTTATCCTAATTTCCTATCCTGTCGGGTGCAGTCACTGGGACAGGAAGTGAGGAAAAAACCTTCTGAATGGGAATATAGACAACAATAAAACCTGAGAAGATCCATCACCTCTCTGTTCTACCAAGAAAAGGAGTGTATTTATTTCCGCCCCTGTCTCAGATGGAGAGATTTCCCCTTACTGCTTTTCCAGGTAGCGCCAGTCATGGAGATAGGAAACGTGACAAAAATCAGCAGAACACAATAAAAAAATTGTCTAACCTGTCTTCACTTACAAATGTTTTGGCTGGAGTTCCACTTTTATATTCATTAAAAGTAAAGGCATAAAAATGCATATATTCATATGAAATGTTTACTATCTGACAGTTTACAAAAATCATACAGTGTACTTTTGTGAACACACATTTTGAGTTTATTATGGCAGTGCTTACATTAAAATCTAAATACCTTAAAAAGTTCATATAGTCATGTAAAAAATTAAGTGCACCCCATGAAAACTGTTTTCCAGATATTTAAACAGGCAAATATTAGATCTTCACCCAACCAGTGTCTACAGATAAAGGTGAAATAAATATTGCCTTTCAAATCATGTATTAAATAGAAAAAAAATCTGTAGAAGTGGTGTACTGAGGAAACAGTAAGCACATAATTGGCTTCAGCTAGAATTGCCCCCTTTAGCAGAAATTACTTCTTGTAGATATTTTGAATACCTTAGCCACCAGACTCTGACATCAACTCTGTAAAATGTTTGACCATTTCTCATTGCAAATTTCCTTCAGTTGCAAGATGTTTGTGGGTATATACACTGAGTGGCCAGATTATTATCAGCGTCAGCGACTAGTCAATGTTAGGGCAGAACGGAGAGTGGCAAGACTGGTACAAGACAACAGAAGGGCAACAGTGCAGTGTCAGATTCCACGCATCACCTTTCAACATCTCGTGGAGTCACAAGGCAGCCCAACGAAGTCATCTCGTGGAGTCATCTCGTGGCCCAACGAAGTACTGATGGGGTGGTCATAATAATCTGGCCACTCAGTGTATACCCTGTTTCCCTGAAAATAAGACCTACCCCGAAAATAAGACCTAGTACTATTTTTGGGAATTGCTAAAATATAAGACCTACCCCGAAAATAAGACCTAGTTGTGACCATTGCAAGGGCCGGTGGTGGCATAAGGGGGGAACCTGAAGAGCCACGGGAGAGAATCAGTGGTGCAAATGAAGCCAGTACTAGAGGAAGCTAGGCGGCAGCACATGGAGCAGAGCCGCATAAGCCAATGCCTCCTCTATAGCGCCGACTCCTGTCACAGGCGGATTGATACCAAATGCACTCCGCCTGTGAGGAATCTATAGTGAAAGCGCTCTTGGAAAGGTATGGCACCCCTGATTGCCCTGATCACCCTATTCTTAACTTTGCCATTTTGGATTATTTAATTTGGATTTGCATTAACTTTGGATTGTTATATATTAAAAAAATAAAAATAAGACCTACCCCGAAAATAAGACCTAGTGTGTTTTTTTGAGCCAAAAAATATATAAGACAGTGTCTTATTTTCGGGGAAACACGGTATACACACACATTAAAAAGGCTATACAGTCCCTTTAAGCTGACAAGAAACAGAAGTGAGGTCAGTAAATCCCACTATTGCATATGGCTGTGTTGCTCATTGTGGACTTTCATATATGCAGAACAGAAAGAGTTAGTGAACAGTTTACTACTTTGCAGTATCTCACTGAATAGGGGTAGGGTGATGATCCTTGAAAATTATTTCCATCTGTCACAACTGTAGGTGAAATGGTTAAAATGAAGTGTGCACTGATCAAGGGTTGCGTCATCTACTTTTATTTTATTTACAATGAAATTACTATGTCTTCAGCAAAAAGAAAACAAAAAAGCTGAAATAAATACAGGGTACTCTATTTACAACTAGAGTTGTACTGGTTTTTCGGTATCAAGTACGATTACCAATATTTATACTTCGGTACTCGCCGATACCGGTACTTCCGGTAGCATGGAGCCGTCTTTCCGGGGCAAGCAGGAAGCTTGGCAGCGAGTCATTACCCACTGCCCAGCTTCTTGATTGCCCGAGAAGCCAGCTCCATGCTGTTTGGCGTGCTTGACGTTGAATGGCTGGGAAGCCGGCTTCCCAGGCAATCTGCGTGGAGCCAGCTTCCTGGCCAGTCAGGAAGCTGGGAAGCGGGCCATTACCTGTCGCCCGGCTTCCTGATTAGCCAGGAAGCCGGCATGGTGCCGATTGCATCGAGGCGGCTGTTTGGCGGCTGTTTGGCACTTTGATTTTGTGGTCCCCGGTCAGACCTCTGGACGCTGTCAGAGAGTCTGCTGGCCCAGCGATCTAGCCGGTGATGTCACAATCAACCAGAATCCAAAGATGCACACGGAGAGCTGTCAGTGTGAGGCTGGTGAGTACTGCGCCCTGCTATAGGGGAGTGCCACTCTGCACACTCCGCCTACATTGCTGTGCTTGCTTAATGGCCAAATAGCATGGAACCAGCTTCCCAGTCAATCCTGATTGGCCAGGAAGCCGGCTCCATGTTCCCTCGCGACACTGCCAGTCAGAGAAAATCTCCCTCTGACCAGAAGTTCTGGTATCAGTATAAGTATCGGAGCATTTGGGCGAGTACGAGTACTTGCCTAAATACTCAGTAACGGCAGCGATATCGATACTAGTATCGGTATCGGTGCATTCCTACTTACAACATAATCTCTGAATAGATTCACTGAGCATGTTACAAGATTTTTATGAAAGAGGAGCAAAATAAAGTAAAGATATAATAGTTCCATGTTATAGCTGTGTTTTGTATAGCACAGGTTATAAAATCAAATTTTTCCCCAAATGTACAATACAAAGCTGCTAGTGGTCCAGGAATTAGTTAGTTTATTATTAACACTAAACAACCAATGGCACCATGACACTAAAAGAGCCACCAAAAGATTAGGGGTGGTATGATACTAAACAACCAATGGCACCATGACACTAAAAGAGCCACCAAAAGATTAGGGGTGGTATGATACTCCCGTTCTTATACAACAATTTTATTACCATTCAGATTAGTAATAAGGTTATACAACTCTTCTTATCTTCATTAAAGTTACAGACCTGTGCAAATAAACCACTAACCTCCTCCAGTTGGCAAGCCTTGATGACACTCAGGTATCTGTACTGGTCATAGGAGACCCCAAACACTATGTTTTCCTTGATGGTCCCAGGCATTATCCAGGACACTTGAGGAGAAAATGATATTCGTCCACTGTGTTTTATTTTCCCTGAGGAAGGTACCAGCTCTCCCATGATCATCATTAGAAGAGAAGTCTGCAATAGCAAATACAGATTGAGTACTTATGGCACAAACTCTACCATTTCCACATTATGCTTTAAATGACAGGAAGAGTTTATAAATGCAAGGTCTTCCAACCTCGACTTTCACACTGCACAGGGCTCCTACGATGCCCATAAATTAGGTGTTGCACAACATATTATCCATGGAAGTTACTCTGCTCACTTCCTATTGATTGCACAGTATGTTGATTGTATCTTACTGGAATTCCTACAAAAATGGCTGAACCTGATAGGTTTACATAACACACTTGGGAGGTGTTAAGTTAATTCAGTTCCACCGAATATAATGACAGATCCAACAATTAGCTATGTTTTATTATTTGCAAAAGTAATTAATTGCACCTTTGCATTACATTTGTTCCAAAGACGTAATTTAAGTCTGGTGGTGTCAAAACAGTGGGATTTTTGTCACCGGTCCTTGTGCAACTCTTGTGAGATGTGATTTGGCATACCTGCTGCGTAGTTCAAATACATCTCCCCGCTTTCTGTTTTCACTTATGCATGTGTCAGTACTCTGGACAAGAAGAAAGTGGCTGATGCTAGACATGCTAAGCAGATTATGGTTAGACCATTTTCATACAAATGGTAAATTTGTTTATTAAAATTTATTAACAATCACACTTAAAATGTTCAGCATGCATGTTGATGCTCTAAGAGAACGGATGGAAGAAAACTGCCAGACATTCCAACATGGACCTAATCTTGGGAGAAACAATATTGATATCTGCTACAACCCACGGAAATATCATCACCTCATTTCTATGGGCATATTAAAGACGAATTACAGACAAACAGCTAAATAAACAAATACACAGATTAAATACATATAAGGGAGCGGTTTTACCTGCCAAAGAATTTGTATTTCTGTCTGTCAAGTTTTGAGATTTTAACAGCCCTGCTAAACAGCCAGGTGGTTGACACCACTTTCATTGTTACAGTTATAGACTGTACTCTCTCCACCCCTTATCCTGCTGACTGGAGAGTGAAATAGCATTCACAGACTGATGAGGTCACTTCTCTGCTCATTTTGCTCTCTCCAGCTGTCAGTATTCTCTGTCACATATGCATGCAGTACACCTGACTGGTTCCCAGCCCTGCCCCTCTTTCCCCAATTCTAAGTGCTGCTGTATAGGGGATTTTATCAGACTAATACTAAGTCAAATCAGTTCACATATGATCCTGTACTCCTGATGGTATTAGACTTTCAAATAATAATAGGTGGGTGGACAAAGTGATAGTGTCCAATTGCACCGCGCCAAAACCAGATCAAGGGATGCAAAGTCACCAGCACTCCAGATATGTAATTATGCCTCACAAATGTATTGTGAAAAAACAGTGTCGCAGACACATACTGTATACCATCATTTTGAGGCCGTGCAGGGTCCTTTTTTCAAAGAAACATAGGGGTCTATTCACGAAGCTGCCGAAGGATCTGGCTGTAGCTTCGGCCGATCCTTCGGCTAGCTTCGGCCCCAGGACCCCTTCAGTTCAGCAGAACCTAAGAGGTGCTGTACAGGCTATTCACAATAGCCCGTACAGCTCCCGATCATGGCCGAGCGGCTCGGCCGAGCCGAACGCATATGCATCGGCTTGGCTGAGCCGTGCTGAAAGCCGAAGCTGGCTGAGCAGCCGGCCATTGGCCGGCAGACAGCACTCGTGAATAGACCCTATAGAGTGGTATGTCACCCAATTTTGCTTTGTGAAAGGGACCTGCAAGGCCCCAAAACATTATTATATGTGTCTGTGACACTGTTCTTCACAATAAATGTGTAAGGTGCAATTACATGTCTGTAGTGCTGGTGATTGTAGTGCTGGTGACTTTGCATCCCTTGATTTGTTACCAAGTCAAATGTATTTGTGTCTTTTATAACTGATTTACGTTTAACTTTGATAGTAAATGTTTTCATCATGCTTTCCCCCACATTAACATAACATCATTTTGTACTTGTTTGTACCCACTGTGAAGTTTCTGCCCTTACTCTGTGGTATGTTATGTTTGAAGTATTTTACTGACAACGACATGCAAGCTGAGTCATTTCTGAGACATCCTTGAGACAACTTGCATCATTATTACTGCAGTGAAGTATTGAACAACCCATGTTATACAGAAAGACATCTCAGAGGCTGTGTACCCAAAGTTCAGCAGATCATTTAACACATTCCTTTCAAATAGCTAATTATGCTGCAGAAAAGTAAACAGACCTTTCCACATTGGTAGCTCTGCAGACCCTTTAGTAAATCACACTACATGACTGTCATATCACAAAACATGGCTGAACTGAAGTCATAATATGATACTTTGCAAAAGTTGCTCCATTGCACTTAATGGTTTTCTGGTATCTTAAGTTATATGGTTTGCATATTCTCCATAGGCTTGTATGGGTTTCCTTCTGGCACTTCTGCTTCCTCCCACACTCCAAAGACATGATGGTAGGTTAATTAGCTCCTTTCCCAATCAAAGGAACAAAGGGCCCTGGTGCAAGATTTTTTTTTGGGCCCCCCCCCCAAAAAAAAACCCACAAATACAGCGCTCTCCTGCCGCAGCGCTCGGCCGGCTGTCACTTTCTCTCCTCCCCGCTGGGACACAGAGCAGCGCCCAGTGGGGAGGAAAGAAAGCACGGACCGCTGTATCAGCAGAAAAATGGCACTTTTGGCATTTAGCCAAAAGTGTCATTTCCGGCCGATATCTTTTGGCGGCCGATATATCGGTGCAACCCTAATATTTACAGCAATGCAGAATGGCACAGGCTATAGAGGACTATTTACCCCCCCTTACCTCTTCTGGCCGGTCTTCTGTCTTCATCTGTTTCCTATGTGTTTTCTGTTTGCTGGGTCCTCACTGCCGTCTGAGGCCCCATGATGTGCCTGCAGGGCTGTCTTCAGTGCCTCCTTGTTCTGCGGCTCCCTCATCACAGTGGCCGGCGGGCCCCATACTATCTCAGCCGGCGGACAGGCCCCCCCATTTCAGTGCGTCGCGCCCCCCCCATTTTGGATTGTCAGACGCGCTGTGTCAGATTACACAGCGCGGCTCCCGATCGGGCTAAGCATTCTATCGCCATGGCAACCATCGGATGAACGGATGATCCGACACTCTCGGCGCAGAGATGGGGGGCCCGCTGGCCGCTGGGTACCGATCAGGCGCTGGGACTGTGCTGGGGCCCCCACAGGCCCAAGGCCCTGGTGCGCCCGCACCGGCAGTAGTTCCGCCACTGGGCTGCACTATCCAGAGAATTCCAATACTGAAGACTTTATTGAAATTCACAGCAAATCCAGTATAACAGTGAATAAAGTGTATAAAGCAACAAATGCCAGCACTGCACACCTCTTGGTTGGTGCTGGTTGGGGGTGTGCAGTGCTGGCATTTTTTGCATTATACACTTTATTCACTGTTATACTGGATTTGCTGTGAATTTCAATAAAGTCTGCAGTATTGGAATTCTCTGGATAGTGCGGTCTGTTCATATACTGCTATATATCAATTCTACTTTGATGTCTGTATAGAAATGTAAAAATGTATGGAGTTCAGTTCTTCTTTGGTTTATTGTACAAAATATGTCCTTATAGTTTTAAAAGTGCAATGTTGTGTGTCAGCTAAAATCCACCGAGCCTTACAGGATTTCTCAGAAAATAATTCTTCAGTAGCTGGAATTCCAGTATCAAGTTGGCTTTATACCAAGCTTATATCTTAATAGAATTTAGATAAGATATTTAATGGGAACACTGTATAATGTTTATAGAATCAAAGCAACCGACTTCCTATGATCAGCTCTGGAGTTGCTGATCAAACAAGTTCTATTTATGATAAAATATAACAGTATACAAATGAAAGAGTTCGTATTTACACACCACTATAAAGTACATAAATATTTCAAGTGTACAAGTAGACTTAATAGGTCGCTGAGTAATCATTTCTTTGACCTGGTATGTAGCAAAATATTCTTTTTAAATGACAGTATGTTCTTTGAACTTTGCAACAAATGCATTGGTGTATTGGTAGTCATTTCATTAATAAAACATGGTATGGCACATTGCGTTTTAGAAATGTTATTATGCATCCATTACCCACAAACCAGGTTTATTTTAAACATCATATTGATTTTAATATAGGCGATGGTGAAAATGGCAACCTACATGTAAACTAATGGACATCTACACCAAGAGAAACATGTAAGCTGCCAGTACTGACTTCTGAAAAGGATATTTGGTTGGTTTTTAAACTGATCTTCTGGATTTACTTCTTTAAGAAACCAACCTGGGACAAGCATGTAGCAAATCAAGTCACAGCAAAGTCACACCTCTTGATCTGAAAGAAGTCAGCAGCTTAGAAAGTAAGTAAATTAGTAAACCACTGTGACGGGCAGGTATCTAGCATATTCAGAAGACATTGCTAGTAATAAAAACCCATTTATTTATCTAAGTACACATTTATTTTAAACATATCTTTTATACCTGTATTTTGAAAAGATTTAGAGAGTTATTCGCTAAAGAGCCGAAGGATATAGCCGTAGCTTCGGCTAATCCTTCGGCTCACTTCGGCCCTGGACCTATTCACAAAAGCCTGTAAAGCAGCCAAACAGCTCAGCCAAGCTAAAACACCCCAAAAGTCATACAAAGCCCTTTAGGTCTGGTAGGAATTTAAAGGGGGAAGTCCACCCCCCAAAAATGGGGAAATAAAAAATAAAATGTGGGGTCCCCCCTAAAATTCCCAGTCAGACCCTTAATCCGAGGGCAGGCATGGCAGGGCAGGAAAGGGGGGGACAAGCGAGTGCCCCCCCCCCTCCTTGCACCATACCTACCAGGCCACATGCCCTCGGCATTCGGAGGGTGCTTTTTCAGGGTCCCCCCTTGAAAAGCGCCTTGTTCCCGTGCCGATGAGGACACAGGGCTTATTTGCATTGGGGTATCCCCTTTAATGAAGGGGGCATCCAGATGCTGCCCTCCCCTTGTAAATGAGTAAGGGGTACTTGTCCCCCTA